TATTCTGCACATAAAAACTGGTCAGAGAAAATTCACCTCACGAGCAGTAGTCAACAGCCCGAGACTTGTAACACAACACAACGGGAAAACACTAAGGATATGACCAAGTGTGTGTGTGTGTGTGTGTGTGTGTGTGTGTGTGTGTGTGTGTGTGTGTGTGTGTGTGAGTGGTGGTAGGTGAGTGTGAGTGGTCATGTGTGTGTGTGTGTGTGTGTGTGTGTGTGTGTGTGTGTGTGTGTGTGTGTAATCTTAGAATCTTGAGGTGTACAAAGTGGGTGGGTGCGTTTTGGTGTCGTAGTATTTACAATTACGAACGACACGAAATAACCTAACTAAACTTTATCCAACCCAACCAGACTTAACCTAACCAAACTAACCCAAAACTAACCAAATTACGATAACTCAAAGATCTTAGGTTAGATTAAATTAAGGTAGGTTAAGTTAAGGATAGGTTAGGCATGTTTACGTTAGATTAAGATTTTAGGTTGGGTTAGGTTAGGTCAGGTCAATTGTTATATACTGTACACTAAGAAATAACCCATTCCCCCCCCCCCCACTTGTCCCTATATGGATTGCAAGACCGTACAGATGCCATGGATCCGCGTAACGTGGATATTTTTCCTTGTATAATCCGTCTCGTTTCGTCATCTATAGCAGTGTCTTGCCTCCACACACACACACACACACACACACACTGCTTTCGCTCACAGAGAAAGTAATGTTGAGAAAGTTAATTGATATTTCAGGTACTGTAGTTGCTTGCTGGTCACTTGATCCGAATCCTCACTGTTCCTAATCCTGACTGGCACTAATCCTGACTGGCACTAATCCTAACTACCCACAATCCTCACTGCTCCTAATCCTAGCTGGCCAATATCCTGACTGGAACTAATCCTAACTGGTCAATATCCTGACTGGCACTATTCCTAACTGGCACTAACCCTAACTACCGACAATCCTAACTGGCACCAATCTTAACCACTAGCAATAAGACCCATTAGAAATATAACTTAATCTTAATGGCTTAGTTAAGGCCGACAAGGACTGGGGCCCATTAGAACTGAGGACCGTTAAGCATGGGACCAATTAGAACTGGTGCCGATTGGTGGTTGTAGTTGTGGTGGAGAAAGAGGATAGGAGGAGGTGGTTGTAGAAGTGGTAGGAAGAAAAGGAGGTGGTTGTTGTAGTTGTTGTTGTTGTAGTTGTGGTAAAGAAGAAGGCAGGTGATAGTTGTAGTTGTGATAAGGAGGGAGGGAGGAGCTTGTAGTTGTGGTAGGGAGGAGCTTGTAGTTGTGGGAGGGAGGAGTTTGTAGTTGTGGTAGGGAAGGCGGGAGGAAGAGAGTGAGGGAGGGAAGGAGGGTGGTGCTACCACTGACACACATATTGCTGGTGACCGTTCCTCCCCCTCACTCCCTTGCTCCGCCCACACACACACCACGCCTCCCTCACCTACCCACCCTCTCCTATGTCTAACTATCTATCTAAAGTATTTTTTCTCCACTACTAGTACCACCACCACTACCACCACACACCACCCCCACTACCCACACACACCACCCCCACACGCCACCCCTACTGCCACAACCCCACCACACCACCACCCCTGCCACCACCCCCTCTGCCACGCCACCTACACACACTACTACCACGCCACCCCCTACTACACACGCCACCCCTGCTACCACGCCACCACCACTACACCATGCCACCCTACTACCACCACACTACTACCACAGGCCACCCCCTACTACCACACCCCACTACTGCCACACCACCCCCACTATTACCACACACCACCCTGCTACCCCTACTACACCACCCCCCTACCACACACCACCCCACTACCTCCCATTACCACACACCACCCCACTACTACACACCACACACCACTCCCACTACTACCACACACCACCCCCACTACTACCACACACCACTCCCACACACCACCCCCACTACTATCACCATCACATAAAGTCGTCCTCCTGCCACCTATTTAGATAATGAGGGCCGTTAACCACCGTAACTACCCAAGGACACAATTTCTCCCATAAACTACTGTCACTGGTATCAGCTGCTTCTACCCCCCTGTCACCCCTTAATCCTTTCTTCCTGGCTGTCTTGTATCCTATCCTTCCCCTATCCTCCCTAACCTTCCCCTATCCTCCCTAACCTTCCCATATCCTCCCTAACCTTCCCATATCCTCTCTAACCTTTCCCTATCCTCCCTAACTGCCCATAACCATCTCCCTAGCCTTCCTAACCATCCTTAACTATCCCTCTAGCCTTCCCCTATTCTCCATAACCTTCCCTTATCCTACCTAACTCTCCACTAACCTACCTAATCCCTCCCCTATCCATTTACTTGAACGATGAATAACTAAATGGTAAAGAAGATGGGAGGAGGGACGGTAGGTGTAACTCTCTTATAATGGTCCTGTCTTTTAAATGTATAATTTTCTTTTAATAAGTCGTGAATTAATTGTTTTTCAGGTAGCAACAATTTGTTTTCATTATCTATTAGTCTATTAACAATCGCCATTAATTGATGATAATTGACTGGTTATAAGTATCAAAATAACAACAACAATAATAATAATAATAATAATAATAATAATAATAATAATAATAATAATAATAATAACTCATGACAGAAGACAATATTTCCATTCAGGTGTTTAATTAATTTCAAAAAATAACACTATAGATTATTGTCATGTTATCTTCTCAAGTTATGCCAAGGTTAATGATAACACTCCCCCCCCGAGGCTCTTTGTAATAACACACACACACACACACACACACACACACACACACACACATGTAAGAAGACAATTAGACAGTCACTCAAACAACATACAGACAGAAAGACACTCCGACAATCAACCAGACAGACAGACTCCAACAGATACACAGACAGACAGAAAGACAGGGACGACTAACCAAATAAATAATCCAACAGAAAGACAAACGCTTCCACAGACAGACAGACAGACAGACAGACAGACAGACAGAAGGACAAACAGACAG